TGGAGTGCCTTATCCAAAGTTGTCTGGTTAGTAGGTGGCAAAAATGTGATCCACACCTATCAATTTACAGATAAGTACACTAAGGCAAGATAAAGACTGCCCCTGGGTCACACACAGTGAATTAGTGGCAGAGTTCAGACTGGAACACTTCTTCTGAGTTTCAGTCCTCATACACTTTCCATAGCACCCAGCATGCTGTGTCTGTTCAGTAAATATTTACTCCTCCAGTTGCTGATAAGAGTCTATATATACCAAAATATTTATAGCAAACATTTTTTCTATAGTAAAGAATTGGAAACAAAGTAAATGCTTATTCATTGGGGAATGGCTAAACAAATTGTGACAGATGAATGTGATGGAACATTACTGTGCTGTAAGAAACACTGAATATGATGAATACAAAGAAGCACAGAAAGATTGACATGATCTAATGCAGTAGGAAGTGAGCAGAGTTGAGAAAACAATATACTTAATGACTACAGCAATGTAAAAAGAAATAACAATCACAACAAATCAAAAACAAATTTGGAAAATTTCAAAGAACAGCCACAGTCCCAAAGAAGACACCTCTCCCTACTGCCTCACCAATGTGAGCGGTGTATGTGTATACATACACATGTATGTGTGCATGCATGCACACACATAACTATATAAATACATTTACATATATGTACACATGTACGTATAGGCATATATAAATGCACACATATATGTGTATATATACACATATCTTCAGACTTTTTGATATAGTGATTGGTTTTGCAGATTTTGATCTGCTTCTTTTCCTTTTTTTCTTTAAAACATATTCTTTGTTTAATGGATGCCTTACTGGGAGTAGGAGAGGAAGCATACTGGAAGAAATTTAAGAAACAATAAAGCAAAAGATATCAGCGAAACTCTTACAAAATATTTACTCCTCCAGAAGGCAATGGGAGCAGATTACAGAGGGACAGCATATTTTGCCTTGAAAGAATTTCCAAAAACTTCAGCAGTATCAATGAATTATTACTAATATCAAGGATGATTCTGTTATTTTGTCAGGAAAACTACCCAAAAGTGAAACAGGCTCTCTTGGCAGGGAATTCCTGTTTCAGGTATGGGTGGGACTAGATGACCTCTAAAATCCTTTCCAATGCTTTGAGTGGATGATTCTATGGCTACATTTACCTTACAAGCCATTTATATATTCAACTAAAGTGTGATTCTGCCATTGTGTGACAATAAAATTGGGCAATTATGAGAAATAGGATAGTTTTAAAAGTGCAAAAGCAACTTCAACTATTGAATTAACCATGAATTTCCTTAATTTTGCAGAGTAAAAGAACTAACGTGTGACTCTTTTCCCTCTTCCATTACCACTGATCCATTTTCTAACCATGAAACTGTTACTGTTCAAAATGACTTTTTGCTGAAACAGAAATTTTCTATTGCCACATGATATATTATGGTATGAGGTTACTTAATATGCAAATTGCTAATATAATTTAATATTATCTTCCCTCCTGTTGCTCTTTAATTTGGCCCTGAGCAACTGAGGATTGAGGTTTTAATCAAAGAGCATTGAGGTGGCAATCTATAAGCTCAAACAAGGGTTTTTTCCCAATCATTTTATCCACTGTTTATAACCCACCAATTGTGAAATTGTCACAGAAATAGATTGCCTTATTACCCCTCCTGTGGTTATATCCTGGTTTGTTTTTGGATGCTACAGCTATGGGGGAGTATATTGAAACTCAAGACACAGCCCAAGTCTCATGCTCTTTCTGCTTATTTCCATGAACCACAATGACCAAACTGATAAATATAGATTTCTGAGTTGTTGTAACATGCAGAAGTATCCATCACTCCAACATCAGTAATATTAAAGACTCAGCTAAATAAACCCAGTTGTCTGTCCAGAGCACGGTTGGACAATGAAGGAGTCACAGATAGTATTCAAAATTGGGTTCCATATAATCAAGGCAGGCAGCTGGCACAGAGAGATTGTTTTAGTCAGGCATGGAATTGAGGTCAGGCAGTTTTTATCAGAGACTGAGCATCAAGTCAGAAGGTTAGGGTTCAAAACAAGCAAAGACTGCTTTACTCAGATAAAGAGGAGTCAGGTGTGCTGAGAACTACAGAAAGACAAAGTCAAGTACAAAGGACAGCTCCTTGGGAACTAAGGTGCTGAATTCAGACTGAGGATTTCATGCTCAGAGCCCCAGGCTTACTCAATTGTCTACCCCTCTATCTTGGAGTCAGAGGTAATGGAATTGGAAGGGACTTAGAGACCATCTAGTTCAACACCCTCATTTTACAGGTGATGAGGCTGAGGCTCGGGGTAAGTTGTCCAAGGTCACATAGATATGTATCAGAGGCAGATTTTGAACTCATTACTCTGACTCCAGAGTGAGTGTTCCTTCTGCTGTACCATGCTGCTTCACATATCTAGCAGGAATTATTTGGCTGCCATAGGGAAATTAAGCATTTTTACCAGGCTTATGTCCCTTCAGATCTACAGAGTCATAGCATATAAGTTTCTAGAGGGCAGAGACTATATATTATTTTGTCTTTGTTATCTCCAGCACTTGGCAGAGTGACTGTCATATGCTAAATACTTAATAAATGCTCACTGAATTGACTTCTCATGATCCCTAAAGCCTATGGCCTCCTCATCACAAGGCAGAACCACATTTTTTTGTCCAGACTTGGATCACTTTGGGGATGACAATGTCCCATAAAGTTTATTTGGCAGCTTGACCAAGAGACCTTATCTTCTTTTTTGATCCCTCTCTGGGAACTCTTTGTTTACTGATCAAGATTACAGAAGCTGTGTGGGGCTGGGCCTGTCAGTTGACATGTATTGATTAGTAGGATTGAATTTTGCAATTATAATGGTTACAGTTGGCATCAGTCTGCCACCCTGTGAGTAACTACAGCCTAAACTGACAGACTTGTGCAGAAACTGCTTTGACATAAGGTAAAAAATGGCTGGATTGAAAATTGAAAAGAATCAGTTGTCTGGGTATTTTGCCCCTGTTACAGACACATATATGGATACTTGGACGTTTCCATATGATAACTAGATTTTCTTTCATTCAGATAGTTGGTATAATTTAATCAATCAATAGAGTATTGAAAACATCAATGCAACCTAGGAATACAAGTGATTCTTTATAATGTCAGTCACCATCCATATATTTTAAAATAGTCTGTTTTCCTTTTATAACAGACTATATTTGCAATGTTTTATATCAAAATAGATTCTAAATTCTCCCAAGCTGATCTTATGTGGGCTAGCTTCCATCAAAAATTAAAATGACCCTTCCCTTTACAGTATAGAGAGAAGAGCTGATTATGGTGGGATGAAAGGATGACCCTCAAGGTACAACTTCTCCTATAATGGCACACTCAGTTCTAGTGGCTTCATCTCAACTGGAACCAGAGACAAGACTTCTTTTCAAGTGATAAAGGACTTCTGTGTGAGGCTAGAACTTAAAAATCTGTCTGGAACTTTAAGAGAAGAAATATCCAAGAGCTATAAAGTAATGAACTACAAATGAGGCTGAGGTTAACACAATAATATTCACCCACTCTTGAAATATTTAAAGATAAACACACAACATTTGAAATAAGCAGCAGAAACAAAACGATGTCTCTAAGTCTTTCAGTATTTCATCCAAACAAAATTTTGAACACAATTAAAACAACCCAAAAACCATTAGCTATCTCATGGTCTCAGCTGTCTATGGTAAAGAAATACTGAAATGTTCCAGCAATTGAGGTCGATAAAAATAGCTAGCAAAGGTAGGTGCAGAATCAATGAAACCAAGCCCCTAAACCACACAGGAGAAGTGATTTCTGACCTTGCATTGATAGAGTTCAAATATAATCTTACAAAAATGATTCTAATAGCATCCACTGTGAAGGCAATCGAAATGGCCAGCTTTCCATATAATTTTTCACTCCCAAATCATGGATTAACAATAAGAATGGCAAACCCCAATGCTTTTCTACATGGTAGAAGAGAGACCTCTAGTGGCATTTCATCTGCTCGCAGCAACCAAATGAAAACACTTGCCAGAATGAAACCACGCCTACTAAAACCATTTCTAGTGTCAGCCCAGAATAAATCTTTCTTCACTATTATTTGCCTGACTATGAGTTCCTTTCATTGTCTCCTCTTTAAAATTCATGGTGCGATAAAAGCTGTTTATTAAAATAAATACAAATAAATCATTTTCAAAACATCTCAAATAAGACGACATTGCATTAACTTTCTCCCTAAATGCATACCATGTTCCAAATGTTGCAAAATCACTTATGACTGAACAAATGATGCTATGAAGGTCAGCAGCAATGGAAGTTTTTTTTTAATACCTGTGGATAACAATTTCATTTCTCTCCCAAGTGCTTCTTTTAAAAAAAATACCAATCAAATGAAGTAAACCAACCTACTCACAACCATTTTCTACTAGAAATTTTAAATTCACATAACTCTGCACTATAAATGACACAGATAATCATTTCCTCTCAAATTGTTTATAGAGTGTATATATGTATATATGTGAATATATGCATATATATATGGTATAATGGAGACAAAACGCAAAAAGCCATCTCATACCCAAAATCTCTCTGCAGCACAAGGAGAAACCAAACAGTTGTACTATAATGTTGCCTTCATAAAATCTCACCAGCCCAAGATACCATGAATATTCTGACCATGAATAAGAAAACCTCCAACTAAGGTGAATGTAGGGAAAGCTCAGTTTCCCTCATGGCACATTTTAGATACCTTTCAAATGTAAAATATTTTCTTCCTAAAAATCTCTTCAAGTTTATAAATTAAATCTCTAGTTGAATACACTAGAGATGCCAAAAATAAATCACCTCCCACAAGCCCTTATATTCACAATCAAACCAAATCTTTAGATCTCTTTAGGAAATTTCTCTCATGGCTTCAAAGCTCTGAGCATTGCTTGTGTATATCAAAGACAAAAAAGAACTAGATGACTCACAGGTGTGCTGCCATCTGAAAAGGTGTTCATGCTGATAGAGCTGCTCATCTTATCGGAGGAGACAGAAGGGGGAGATGGACTCCGCTTCTCCAGGTGATCCTGGTGGGACAGATCCTGACGTTGGAGATATTCCCTCCATGCTCTCTGGATGCTAGAACCAGAAGCAAACACAGAGAGTTAGGGGATGATCATAGCCCAATACTTCAGAAAAACATCAAAGCTCATAGAGCATTGGCTTTGGAGAGAAGAAGGTTCTAAAGCCACTAGTCCTAACTGTGCCACAGTTGCCCTAATGTTTTGATTTATTTGATGATTGGTCAAATAAGCTTAAACTATCTCAATTTGGTGCAAAAGTTAATCAGTCAAGGGTCAAACTCATCAGTGGACATAAATGTGGTTTGTTTTTGTAACTTTCATACATCATCATCATCATAATTTATATTATGTTCTTATCTCTGTTTTTATAGATGTGGAAAATGAGGCTAAAAGAGGTAAAACGACTGGTCCATGACCCAGATAGTGTCTGCAGAAGGATTTGATATCAGATCTTCCTGACTTCATGTTTAGTGCTCTATCCAACATGCCACCTAGCTGCCTATTATACATGAGACTACATGTTTAGGGATAAAATAATGTTATAGATGTTAAAAGCCCATTCTTTTAAAGGAAGAATTGCACTTAGCACATGCCACTTTGTTTTTAATTTGCATTTTATGTTTTGATGTACAAGTGGCTCACTCAGATGATAATGAGTTCTCCCTCATTGGAAGTCTTCAGGTAAATCCTGGGTGTACAGTTGGAAGGCAAATTGTTGGGGGATTCTTGTTCAGAAATGGGGGTGGGAATATATAATACTGATGTTCGTCCCAACTTTGAATTTCTGAGATTCTGTGATTCTCATCTGACCTACTAGACTCTAAGTTTCATAAGACCATGGATAGGATCTTATTAATTTTTAAATCAACCTGAGGATGCAGTACAATGCCTCATACAAAGTAAGTGCTCAAAGTATTGTTGAATGAATGGGGGGCGGGGAGAAATGCTAATAGTTTAATGTATGTATAGAGAGACCCATCCATGCTGTATAATTGGTTGTTTCTATGGCAAACTGCTTACACTGTTTTGATTAACTAGCTGGGTCAATTCAAACTCTTTCAATCATCTAGATGACAAAAAGATTACCTTACAGATTGCTATTTGAATGGATGGAAGTGTTTTAATGATATTTATTAAGATTCTATTTCATTTCTCAGTGAAAATGCTTATAAGCTCCTGTGAAATGATAGTTTTCAGTTATGATTTGTCACACTGGGAATAATACCAAACTGAACATGCTCATGGGTTGTTTACAGAGTAGATGCTTACAACATGGTTTGTTGAGCTACTTTGAGAGATGAACCACCCTCCCATACTCCTAAATATCTATAAATCCTTCCCAGTGCCCTCCATCTAATATAAACATTTTTCCCTTGGAGACATTATATGGCAATTGGTTTTTACATCTCACTAATGAGAAGAAGCATCATAGAGAGTAGAAGGCATACTGGCCTTGGCATTCAGGGCTTTGAAGTCAAATTCTGCCTCTGTTATTTCCCACCCATGTGAGTTTGGACAATTTATTTTACCCTTCTGAGTTAAGTTGGTCTAAATGGCTTCTAAGCTCTAGAACAATGATGCCTTGATAACATATTATAATTACCTCTGTATCATATTTCCCTATTGGACTGTAAACTTCTTGAGGTGTAGAGGTACCTAAAACAGTGTATCATTTGCAGTAGGTGCTTACTAAATGTTGGTTAAGTTGACTAGAACCAGCAAAATATAATGGAAAGACCATGGAACTAGGAATTGGAATACCTAGGTTTTAGTTGAGGCTCCACTGCCTTCTAGACCTGTGACCTTGGGAAAATTACCTTCTCTTGATGCTCCTCAATTGGGGAATGGCTGAACAATTTGTGGTACATGATTGTAATGGAATATTACTGTGCTACAAAAATGATGAGCAGGCAGATTTCAGAAAAACCTGGAAAGACTTGTATGAACTGATGCAAAGTGGGCAGAATCAGGAGAACATTGCACACACTAACAGCAATACTGTACAATGATCAATTGTCAAAGGCTTAACCATTCTCAGCAATACAATGATCCAAGATAATTCCAAAGGACTCTTGATGAAAAAACACCATCTGCCTCCAGAGAAAGAGCTGATGGCGTCTGAATGCAGATCAAAGCACACTATTTTTCACTTTCCATGTTTTTTCATGGTTTCTTTTTTCCTTCGGGTCTGTGTCTTCTTTTACAGCTTGACTAATAGTGTAATATGTTTTACATGATTTAATGTGTATAGTCTATATCAAATTGCTTATTGTCTCAGGGAGGGAAAGGAAAAATTTTGAACTCAAAATATTTTTAAATGAATGCTAAAAATTGTCTTTACATGTAACTAGGGAAAATAAAATATTATTTTAAAAAATTGCTTTCCCTTACTGGGACTTAGTTCACTCATTTGTAAAATGAGAGAGTTGTAGGAGAACAATTTAGGCCTAAAGTTTTAGCCTGAGCAAAGTCATGAAAGCAAGAAATGAAATTTTGTGTACAAGCAAGAGAAAGTGTGCCAGGTTGTCTGAAATGTAAAGTATTTGAGGGAGGATTAAGGTGAAATAAATGTGGAAGAAAGATTGGAGATTTGCTGGGAAGTGTTCTAAATGCCTAAAAAAGACAATTTTATATCAGAAGAAACAGGGAGTCAGTGAAAATGCTTGAGCAGGATATATGATCAAACCTTTGTCAAACAAATGTCGACTGAAAGCTGTATGGAGGAAGTCTGGCATGTAGTAGGTGCTTAACAAATGTTTACTGATCGATTAGATTGGAGAGAGAAAACCCTGGGGTCAGGAAGACCAAGCAGAAGGCTATGGCAACAGTCAGAGTAAGTGGTGATGAGGGCCTGAATAAGGGTGGCACCTTTGTTAATGGAAAGAAAGTGATGGAAATCAGAGATGAGGTAGAATTAGAATGAACAAGATTTGGCAGCTAATTGGGCATGGGGGAAAGGGAAGGGGTAAGCAAGGCATCGAAGAGCTTCAATGCTGTAAATCTAACTGACTAACAATGGTGGTACACTCATAGAGATAAGGAAGTTAGGAAGAGGAAAGGGTTAAAAGGAAGAAGAAAGTGAGTTGTGTTTGAGCTATATTAAATGTGAGATGCCTGTGGAATTTCTAGGCAAAGATGTCCAACAGGCATTTGGAGATAGAGAATTAGAAGTCAGGAGAGAACGCGGGATGTAATATGAAGATTTGGGAGACATCTGCAGAGAACACTGCTAAACTTCTGGGAGCTGATGAGACTGCCAAGAGAGAAAGTTTAGGGGAAGAGAGAGGAGGTCCTAGGGCTGAGCCCTTGAGTACACACAGACACACACACAGACACACACACACACACACACACACACATTCATGGATATGGGACAAGAATGACAGTCCAGGAAAGCAGATTGAAAAGCCACAATCATAAAGGTAAGAGGACAACCAGGAAAGAGCAGCATTTTAAAAGCCCAGAGAGGAAAATATATCCAGAAGATGATGGTTAATCTATTAACAAGCATTTAGTAAGTGCTAACTACGGGCCAGGCAACAGTATCAAATATTCTAGAGAGATTAAAAAAGGATGAGGATTGAGAAAAAGTCATTAGATTTGACAAGTAAGAGTTCAGTTATAAGTTAGAATGAGAAGAGAAACAGTTAACTAGGAAAATATTTGCAGCAAATTTCTCTTACAAAGATCCAAAATCCAAGATATATGGAGAATTGGTAAAATCATATAAGAACAAGTTCTACTCTATAAATGATAAGTAGCCAACAATTACGAATGGGCAGTTCTCAAAAGAAGAAATTCAAGCTATCAATAGCCATATGAAGAATGTTTCAAATTACTAGTAATAAGAAAAGATGCCAATAGATAAGGAGAAATTAAAGATTAGAAGATAGAAAGAAATTGCAGTCTCCTAGAAGAGGCAGGATTAGATGAGAGGCTGGTGTAGACAAGAAGAGCCAAATAAAAGAGATCTAATTCAACCTCCTCATTTTGTAGATGAGAAAATTGAGGCCTATAGAATCATTGGTTTGCCCAGCGTCACATAGGTAGTAAGTGGCAGGGCTTACATTTGAACCCAGCTTCTTACTCTCATAACTATTGTTGGGTGATATAATAGTTAATTAGGGAAGAAAAAAGGGAATGCCATGTAGGAATGAGAGCCTAATTAAGATAAAATAACAGAGGCAGAATTTGACTTCAAGTCCTTTAGCTCTGAGGCCAGTGTGCTTTCTATTCTTTATGATGCTTCTTCTCATTAGCGAGATGCAAAAAAAGTTGCCATATGATGTATCAAGGGGGAAAACATTTGTATTAAATGGAGACATGGAGAAGAATTCACAGAGATCTGGAACATGGGAAGGAATGTCTCCCCAAATTCTGCCCCTTTCCACTCCTCCCCTATCCATTGAAAAGGCAAGAAACACAACACTCATTATAATCTGAAGTCATGTAGAACCCATTTCTACATTAGCCATGTTTGGGGGGGCAAGAAAAAAATAAAGGCAAAAAACATACTTCAATAGGCACTCAGAGTTCCACTCTCCTCCATCTGGAGGTGTATATCATGTTTCATCAGGTAAGGGAGTCAAAGTTGCCTGAGAGATTTTGACTTGTCTAGGGTCACACAGACAATAAGGGACAAAACATTTTTTAGTCTGCAATGCTGCAGGCCTTTCAGAAAAGATTCAGATGCTTTCATTTTGTTTATGGTTGTTCCTGTATCTCTAAACCAAAAATTAGGTAAGGAATAATAGGAAAAACCTTTTAAACTTACAAGCTAAGGCTTTCTATTTGAATGTCTGAAAAATCCAACTACTTTAATGAATATTTGTTGGGGGTCACTAAATAATAGTAAAGCTCTACACTTTCTCATCCTAGGTCAGTGACAACTATGTAATGTTGGAAAGTCACTTCCCTTCTCTGGACCTCAGTTTCCTTATCTGGAAACTGAGGAGGTTGAATCAACTGGCCTTTGTGGTTTCTTCTGACTCTATATCCATGATCACGTCATTGAATCCCTAGTGACTGCAACATAAGATGTTAACACCTACCCTC